CGTGCCTGATGAGGTTTGTTCGGTACCGAAACACTGGATTCTTCATCTCAAAGGTTTCACACCCATCTCGGTACAGGAAGGCAATATCTGGAAGTGAACTCTCCTTAGTCCATTCCACTGTTGGGACGTCTCCACTTGGGGTGATGTTGCAGGGCAGGAGGACAGTTTCACCTGCAAAGGCCACGATCTTTGGTACGACAATCGCTGAGGGTTTTCCTGTGGATAATAGAGATAACAAAACACGGAGGAACTAATTACTGTGTTTATTCAAAGAACTGAGTCTACTAAAAAAATGTTTGTGTGTGTGCAGCAGCAACCTCATTATTGCTTTATGCTTTAAAACTTGCTCAGAAAGCATTCATACAAATATCAGGTCTCATCACAAATGTTTATTCTCACGGTACAATATAGTCCAACAAATCTGAAGTTTTCTTCTGTTTGTGTAAACTGAGACTCTAAAATAAGGACAGACTGTGTTGTAGGTCAGTGATAAGCCTTATGTGTAATTTCATTTATATATTTGTAATAGCTAACCTCTTCACCACAGATTACCCAAGCAGGAGTCTCTGTGGCTGAAAAACGAGGCCAGCGCGGAAATGCAGCCTACAGTCGCTATTGTGGCAAATTAATGCTGGTTACAAAAGTGTGTCAGTCCCCACAGACTGCACATTTACATGCTGCCCAACTTTACCATATAAGAAAAGCATGTTTTCAGCCTGTATATAGCGAGAAATTACAACAGCTAAAGGTGCTTTAGAGTGTAAGAAACTGGGAGCTGGTTCCACAGAAGGGCAGTCTGAAAGCTGAAGGCGCTGCCTCCTCATTCTGCTTTAAATATCAGACGAACCACATGTCTGAGAGCGATGTTAATCTGTTAGTGTGATGTGGTGTCTTTAAGATAAGGTGTCTGTTTTGTCTGAAATAAGGAGGAGACAGTTGCAGTCTCTGTGGATAGTTTATCCCTGCATAACGTCAAACGAAAAATCTGACAAAATGTCATAATAATTTTTCCAGCAGGAGACTCACAGTTCCAGGCAGGTAAAACGTCATGCACAAATACACTGAAACATTTCTGTGTACGTGCAAGTAGTAAATTTACTTCAATTTTTGTTTTGTTGCCTTTTTTATAGCATGCGCAACAAAGGAATTCCTGTCATGTGAGGCAGATTCTTAAACTTCCTGCATAACGTGAGTCAAATAAATGCAGAACAAACATTTGTAGGAAACTTTGCAATAAAACTGAGGGACAGTTATAAAGAAAACACATTAAAAACACATTTTTTTAGCACAAAACCACACTGTTAATCTCTGCTGCAACCGTGACAGCAAAATCACCGATAAACGTACACAAAAAGTACTCTGAAAAATTTTTTACTGTACGGGTGTCACACATTGCGCACATTGATGTCACAGTAAATCGCTTTATTTTGGAAACTGTGGTCATTTGCTGTTTGCACACAAACAACAGCAGCAGTGTGATTTCCCTGCTGACTGCAGTCGGTGCTCTACAACAGAAATGATCCAAAAATAACCTTAGGAAGTGAGTGAACTTCAACTTGAAATGAGAATTGAGGAACTGGGTGTCAATTTAGTCGAGTCATGTCGGTCAAAATGAACTTGCCCTAAACGTAGAAATGAACTGCAACATTCAGATTGTGAGAAACATTTGATAATATCGCTCAGCGTTTCCAGTTTAAACACAGAGAAGCTCTTTAAATGACTGACACACAGATTTTGAGCTTGTTTCCTCAAAATGTAAACAAATAGTCAAACAAACATCCTGCTTTTATCGTCAGAACTTCGATACTGAATTACACAGAAACTTTAGCAAAGGCATTAAAGGTAGACAGATACGCACTTTTACAGCGACTCTGTGTTAACATTTGTAAAGTGACTCGCTGAAAACACAAATCCATAAATCTCACCTGTACAACAAGATGAGGACAGGACAGCGGCGAGCAGGAGCAGGCGGACAAACCACAGCGACCTGTTCAAACAGGCATCAAAACAAACTTTGTTGACTTCGTCCATGGTTCCTCTTCAGAGAGCAGCCCGACACAGACGAAGTGGAACAGTTTCGACTGTTGTAGTTCAAGTCGCAAAAAGAGAAGAAGGCGGGATCAGAGCCATAATTTCATCATGCTGTCTGATAATTTTACACATTTATAGCGCTTAGTAGACAACAATCAAAGTACTTCTTCTTATACAGGTAGGTTTCCTTTCATCATCTATTATAAGTTTATTAATCATCATTAAATTGAAAGTAGCTTCGTAATGCTGGATGCTATAGCGCTTTTCTACTATACCTGACCACTCGGAGGCTTTATATAGTACATATTGTACTATATGACACATTCATCCATTCACACAGTCACACACGCAACTTTTTTAACACCTAAGTGCTTTCGGTATTTCTATCTGCTTTCTGTTTAAACGCTGGTTCATCTCTTGATTTTGGAGCCTTATAACACTTGAATGATTTATAGGTCAGTGTTAAGGTCAGAGTTTCTTATAGTTTGCACATCTTTTGTCGACCAGTGTGCTGCGACTGCAGGAGATGTCCACATTTTAACTGGCTTATGAACATGATACATTTTCTATTATTCCAGAAAACAATTATTGAGTCAATCTCATTAACGTTATACCAGTGCAGCTGTTCTGCTATCAGCAGCTTGAACTTATAGTGTGAGGCTTTAATTGAACTCATGGGCAAAGCCCTGTGCAAACCATGAGTCTGACTCTGAGGTAAATCACTGCTATAAAACAATACAGTGAAACTGAGCGAGTGAAACTGAAATAAGAAACTGCAAAATTACAGCACACACAACCAAAGCTGTCAACATATTTCAGGCTTATGGAGCAAATTTCATCATTTACAAGGCTCAAAAACAAGTCAAAGGATTTTAACGAAAAAAAGGTAGTGTTAGTGGGGAAAGTGGGACATTAAGTTGTGTTTTTATGTGATTTTTTCATCCCAAAGGAGGTAAGGAAGACTCTTTTATGTGTTTCATAAATCAACATAAATTAATTAAGATTCATGTGTTTGATTATATCGGCAGGTAACAGGTAAATTTATATTAAAATTATTTAAACAGCAGGAAAGTATTGTGAAAATATTGCAACTTTGTAATTATAAAGTGTTTATTTTTAGCTCCTCTCAGCAGTCAGGCATGAGCATACAAATATGCTTTATAGATTAAAAACAACTGTGAGCTTCATGGAGGATTCAAACCCAGCACCTGCTAATAAAAGTCAACTTGGAGAAGTGTGACACCGCTTTTCTCTCTCACACATTTCTCTGTCAGCTGATTAAACAGATGCAGTTAATGTTGATTTCTTAAAATTATTGTATTCATGGTTAAGGTTGTGTTGTGTAAAACAACTAAAACGATGTTAGTTTGCACACACAGAGAATGGCCAGGTTTAAATAATATAAGCAGTTAATTCACAACACAAAGGGTTAATATTTCAACCAAATAACAATGTGTATCATGTTAGTGTGTAGAGTATGTTTGAATGTGAGTGTGTGTCTTTCTTGCCCTCAGTGTCAGCCTGACATCTACTGACAATAGCTGCTTAGTGTCCAAAATGCCACTGAGGTCCAGCTTTAATGTCCACTGAGGACTTTTTGATGTAGGGTCATAGAAAGAGAGATGTTATTGTTACCTTATTACTACTGCCTTTAGTAAGGTGCCGTAAATTCTTTTTCTGACATGATGCTAATATCAATTTAAAAAGTGTCCTTTTGATTTTTTGAACAGTGTAAAAATAAATGTTTACAAATAAAACAAAAAAGCATCCTTATTTGATAACACTAAATGTGGCAAAACCTCGATTCTTACTGGATCAAAGATGATCAAGTGTTTGTTCCTATAAATATAATAAAACTTCAAACTTTTCAATCTGCAGCTTGCAAAGTTTTCAATAATATACTGCTCATACACAGGAAGCACTCTGGTTTTATTTAGTCTCATTTAATGCACAAAGACTGCAGCATGATCAATTTTTAAACAAATGTAACTTTTATACCATGAAACTGTACAAAACCCCATCAGTCGAATCTCTGTAATCGAACACAAATGCAAAATGACATCATTTATAAACATCACATTAAAGAGAAAAGTGCGAAACAACAAGAATTTAATTCCCGGCAACAAAGTCCCAGGAGTGAAAAGTAAACACTTAAAGCATTTGTGCTTTCCATCAGAGTGATGGAAAACAGTAAGGCTGAAGTAACAGAGGCTCTGAATAGAATTCACATTTTCATATTATTGTAGGATCTTTACAATATAAAGCACCTTAAGGCAATCTGTTGCTGTGATTTTGTACTACATAAATATAAAAATGAATTGCATTGAACTGAGACATTCACTGTGGCTCAAGTAAAAGAAAAATAGTAGTAGTGGTAAAATAGTATTCATTTTAAATGTTGGCAGTGCTTGCCTTTATTTGTTCATAAAGTATGAACAAACTATATGGGAATGGGGATAAAACACACACAACAGATTTGTGTCTACATGCTGTTAATAAACTAGTAAATGAGGGTCAATCTGACCCAAATACTGTGACTGAATGTCAGCATCTTGCAGGAATAGTAGTGGTCAACAACTTATTGCAAGTTTCTATTTTATAAATAGATTACACTAAAACCTTTCTTATAGGCAGCCTTGTGTAACAGCTATTACAATATGGATCACTCTCAAGCTGCAAAGATTTAGGGTAATCTGCTACGGAGATCTTAGCTGCTCGAAGCTGATGATTCAGCCGGCTTTAGAGGCTCAGTGGGAAGAATTTTGTACACATACGTTACTTTTCCTTTTTTTTTTCCAAACCACCCAAACTTCCATCTAACTGACAGCTTTTACTAAGATTCAGTCACTAACCTGAGATGTTTCATTTAGTGTATGAATGTGAGAGTGAATGGATAGTGGTATTGTAAAGCGCTTTGGGTGCCTTGAAAAGCGCTAAATAAATCCAATCCATTATTATTATTATTATTATTATTATTATTATTATTATTATTATTATTTATACAATTTTTAAACCTGCCTGATCACATTTAGTTATCACTCTTTATCCAATCAGATTTTCATCTTCGGATAAATCTGCCAGGACACCGTATGGGTTGTTAGAAATGCCTGAGAGAGTATTCCTGCGTGGAGACCTTGGAATGACTCCATGAGTCCGTTTCACAGACAGACTAGTTGAACGGGGAAAAGGCTTTTCTTTTGAATCTAGAGGAGTGAATGACACAGCATCATTAGTTATTGAGACAGCAGAACTGCCGCCATAACTGCTTCTTCTTATCTGTGGGCTGCGTGCTGGATTTTGTCTTAACGCAACAGGTTTTGAGTCCTTAGTCTGGGGTAAGGTGCCAGATTTTGGATGGCTGCCGTTGGCTGAGGATGCTGGCTTAAGGGGCTTGCTTTGGTAGGGAGACTTTGGTGGGGGTGGGATGCCACATTCAGAGGTGCCTGGTGAGGATCTAGGGTTATTTGAGGACTGGCTGGACTGTTGTGCTGGACTCTGCCTGGATTTGAGGTCGTTCAGCTCTTTAGTTAATCGCTTGATCTCGTCTTTCTCCAAGCTCGATTTTTGTCGTCCCACTGTATGAACACAAAAAACATATACAGTTAGCACTTCTTTCACTCCTGACGGTCACTGATCTTACAACAAAGACAAAAGTTAGTGAATGAAAAAATACTTAGTAACAGTTAACCATAGAGCCAAAAAAAACTGACTTACCAGACAAGTAACCTCTCTGGACTAAAAAGAGCAAAGTAAAAACACAGATTACTGTGTGCACCATGATGGTCGTCACCACAGCAGTTGCGATGATTCGAGTGGAGGATTTCATGCATTCATCTGAAATGATTTAAAAATAATAATAAAATAAGATCAAGCACGAACAGTGGGATAAAATAAAACTCATTACACGAGAAGATTATCTCCATAGTTTGTTTTCTAAGCTGCTTTTAACTGAAATGTTACCACTAAGGTTTACATATCAACGCATAGTAATATAAATATAAAAATATGATCTGGGCCATACAGTTTGAAAATAATTTAATTACAAAACGTGTCTTTATTTATTTAACAAAAATTAAGACAAAATGCAAAAGCAGTCTGTGGGAAACCAAAGTACACCCTTAATGCCTTCATAGGAATTAAGAGGGTAAGCAGCCAGCTGCAGCTGATCAAACGCACTTGATTAATTGATCACGAGCAATAAAAGTCTGCAGGTCTGGAGCATTCAAGTGTGTGCTA